AACAGAGCAGCGTCACCTTCTGGAGGAGAATATGTCCACTGTTTGAAGGTCAGCTCCTCTTCTTCTGGTACAGTACAACCACACAGTGGTGGGGAGGTGCTCAGTACAGTTGTCTCACACCTGCAGATTTGTGGGTTCAACTTCAGAGGTTATTCCAAATCTCTTTGATCAGAAAGGTTAGAGAAGTTCTGAGAAACAACCAGAAAAAGATTTGAATTATTTTACATACACAAAGTACAGACTATTTAGCATTCATACTTTTATTAGCACAACGATGTCTCCCTCCCCCTACACACACAATGGTTGTGCTGACCCAAGGCTAATTTTAAGTTGTTGCTGATCCTTGCTATGTCAAAGATACTGTGACATTACTTGACTAATTTTGAAACTAATTCGACTGTTAGCCTAGCCTATTAACAGTCAATCAATAACCTCTCCATTCAGTCAGCCTCTGATCTGTAATTTCACAGTGTAAAGATGATTTTTCATACTGTAGTATCTGACAGAGGGTGTACAGTTGTTGACGTCTGTCTGACTCCGACTCTCAGGTATCGGTTATGGCAGTCAGGTGGTGGTTTTCTACTCCAGCATCTATTACGTCATCATCCTGGCCTGGGGCTTCTTCTACCTCTTCTCCTCCTTCAACTCAGAGCTGCCCTGGTCCAGCTGCAGGAACAGCTGGAACACAGGTACAAACCCCAAAGGAACAAACAAAGACAGACCATGGTTCTGTAGGCTCGGTTCTTCATGGTTCTGTTCTCCGATCCACACAGAGACCTGTGTGGATTTTGACAGAGACCAGGACTTCTACAACAGGACCCTTCCCGAAAACGCCACCTCCCCAGTCAGAGAGTTCTGGGAGTGAGTGTGAAAAGTCCTAGATGTACCATGTGTGTTCTGATCCAGAGCATGGACTGACTGTGGCTCATGTCCTGTGCAGGAGAAGGGTTCTCAACATGACGCCCAGTGTGATGCAGCTGGGCAGCGTACGCTGGGAGTTGGCACTGTGTCTCCTACTGTCCTGGACCGTCTGTTATTTCTGTATCTGGAGAGGAGTTAAGTCCACTGGGAAGGTAGGAACCAGGAGACACTGGTTAAAGGTTACACCTGACTGGACCAAAGGTTCATCCACTAGTTAATAGAGTTACACAGTAACTGAGGGTTACCTTCATATTCATAGACAAACAGTGTGCAGTGTTGTTTCTGTTCCAGTACTAGTTATCAGTACTAATGTACTAATGATGTGGTTCAGGTGTTGACAAACAGGTTTCTGTTAATTTTATCTTTAACCTGTTAGTACTGCTGCTGCTGCTGCTGCTGCTGCTGCTGCATTTAATGACTTTTTCCTGAAAGTCTTCCACCTCCAGGAAGATAGAACTTTATTAAGTGGAGCAGTGGTGGCTTAGTGATTAAGAAAATGGACTTGGGTTTTAGGTTTGAGTCCACCAGCTGCCAAGTTACCACTAGTACTCTGGTGCTCTGGGCATGGCACCGTCCCTACACACTGCTCCCTGCGCCCTGACCTGCTGACTTTGGTGATGGGTTAAAAGCAGAGGTCACATTTGGTTGTGTGCAGTGGTGTGCAGTGTCACAGTGACAAGTATTTCATGTTCACCTAATCCCTTTGGGAAATTAAGGTTTTAATTAGGTCCATGAATGAATTAATTCCCACGGACCTTCTCCTGTGTAGGTGGCCTATGTTACGGCTACATTTCCATATGTAATGATGGCAGCCTTGTTGGTCCGTGGACTTACACTTCCTGGAGCTCTGGAAGGGATCAAGTTCTACCTCTATCCAGATTCATCCCGTCTGACTGACCCACAGGTATGAATGGATGATGGGTGGATGGGCACATTGAGGTTAATTTCCTTTCCCAACCCTTCATACAGTATTCACTATGATGTAGCACTATCCCCACCCTGATCAGCTGTCACTACATCACTGTGTTCTTATATGTCCTGCACCACCCTCATGTAGTTCCTTGCCACTCCTCACTCACACTCTCTTCATTTGTCTTTCTCAGCGAGACAATTTTAGGACCAACAATTCTGGTGTAACTGATATGATGTTGGCTGTAAACCAGCACCTGGAGTCATCTGACATGTCAATCATTTTGACCTATCACCTATTTTACCTATTGGTCGGGCAAGTATCGGCACGCTGGGTTGTTCCCGAATAAGAGTGTGTTTGTGTTGCAGGTGTGGATGGACGCAGGTACACAGATATTTTTCTCTTACGCCATCTGTCTGGGCTGTTTGGCTGCCCTGAGCAGCTACAACAAGTACGACAATGACTGCTACAAGTAAGTCTGACTGGTAGACTGATGATGAAGATGAAGATGATGATGATGATGATGATGATGGTGGTGAGCCGTGTGCTCCTGCAGGGACTGTTTTTACCTCTGTCTGCTGAACAGTGGAACCAGCTTTGTGTCGGGCTTTGCCATCTTCTCTGCTCTAGGATTCATGGCACATGAGCAAAATACACACATATCTAAAGTGGCAGAGTCAGGTACTTAGTACTGCAGTACATACAGTATGGTCAGTTGTAAATAAACAGAAAATCACCACAGCTGCATGAGTCTTTGTGGCAGGTCCTGGATTAGCGTTCATGGCGTATCCACGGGCGGTGGCCATGATGCCTTTTCCTCAGCTCTGGTCTGTGTTCTTCTTCATCATGATCATCCTGCTGGGCCTGGACACTCAGGTGACCACTACTGGACATCAGCTAAAGTCAGTTTAAAGTTTCAAATTTGTGACACTGAGATCCGTGTGGTCCAGTTCGTAGGTCTGGAAGCTCTGACCACAGGACTCTGTGACCTGAACCCCGGGTTCTTCCTGGTGGGTTACAGACGTCAACTTCTGCTGCTACTCCTGAGCGTCGTCTGCTTCCTGATTGGTCTGCTGATGGTCACAGATGTGAGATGAGAACCATCAGAACATTCCCTCATGTTAGAGTGGATGGGTGGGGACTGACCCCCGCTCTTCTTTACAGGGCGGACTCTACGTGTTCCAGCTGTTTGACCACTACGCCTGCAGTGGGACGACCCTGCTGCTCTTTGCTGTTCTACAGTCGGTCTGTGTCGGATGGGTTTATGGTTGGTTCACACCTGAGGAAGTGAAGTTCACACAGCAGCCGGTCCTTTTGTTCGTTGTTTGTGGACGTGTTTTTTCTTCATCTGTTTGAAGGTGCAGATCGTTTCTATGACAACATCCAGGACATGATTGGATACAGGCCGTCGCCTTGGATCAAGTACTGTTTGAAGTTTGCCACCCCTCTGGTCTGTGTGGTGAGTCACACTCTGCTGTCTGAATCAAAATAAGGTTCCCTTTGGTAACAGTTTCCTTTTTCCAGGGAACGTTTATTTTCTCCATGTTCAAATCCACTGCTCTGAAGTTCAACAACGTGATGGAGTATCCATGGTGGGGCTACGCCCTGGGTTGGTGGTTCACGCTCTCCTCCACCCTCCTGGTTCCTCTGTGGATGGTGTACAAACTGAGCACCACTGCAGGAACCCTGCGTCAGGTGAGTCCTGGTCCAGTCCTGGTCCAGACGTTACTGCACTGTTTTATTCCTCTGTTTAAATCAACATCTTCCTCTGTAGAGGCTCTCCATCCTGTGTACACCGGCCAAAGATCGTGGATTTGAACTTTTGGACCTGAACTCATCACCTGACGGCCTGGTGTCGTCAGGAAGAACTACAGCAGCTGGGCACTTGAACACACCACTTCTCATTTAGATTTGATCTTCTCAGCCATGATTTCCCCCGAGGTAGTACTGGTACTGTGTTGATACTGTATTGGTTTTTGCACTATTTACCATGTTATTATATTTTACTAGCTCCCTTCAGCTAATGTTTGGTGTATTTGGCCTTACTGTCTGTCAGTAATATCCAGTTAACAGGATTAAATCAATATTAAAGCCCATCAGCATATAATGGGATCACAGACCACAGCACCACCTACAGGCCAGGAGAGATCAACACTGACCATCACAAAATATTTTGAAATTCTCCTTGGGTGCTCAAAATTGACATATTTAATGATTACATACTGTACATGAAACATGAATAAATATTTCAGAACCAGTTTGGTGTTGACTCTGAGGATCCCTTTAACACACACACAAAGACAACAGTTCTATCAACACACACACACACACACACACACGTATGACACACACCTTTGTTAATAATTGTTAAACTGACATCTGGACTCCATGAATGTGGGTCACATTATGGACAAAGATGGTTCTATTGGTACACACTAGATTAAGAAATTTACTAGACTCTTTACCAGACATCAGTGATGTCACAGAGACAGTAGTGACGTCTCAGCCAATAAAAATCTAGTAAAGTCTCAGGTGGAGCAGGAACTCAGCGATCTCACCACACATTCGGTTTCTGTTCCTGTCTCTGATCCTCTCCAGAATCCCTACACTGTTCACTCTGTAGAAGGACTGCACTGGTATCGCTGCTGCCCTCATGTGGTACTCTATGGACCTGTGGGTCTTTTTCTGGATCACATGTAAATGTTTGGCGTAGTTGTTGTAAAGAACCTGGGCTTCTTTAGGCTCCAGTTCACTCTGAAGCAGTTCTTCAAAAATGTTCTCAGCTGCAGCGCTGCTGTGACTGGACTGAGCGTAAATGTTGGCCAGAGAGATTTTTCTTTTGAACGAGGACTCGGGGTAGAGAGAAATGACTTCCTTGTAGAGGCTGATTCCTCTGTCCACCATGCTCTGGTCAGCAGGAGAGTTCCTGTGGAGAAGGATTCTCCTTCTGTAGCAGCTGGCAGCACATCTCTTCAAATAACGTTCGCCTGGATGCCTCTCTAGAGCGCCCTCTGCCAGGTCGATAGCCTCATCCATGGACACGTACATGCTGTACAGCCTGAGCAAAGGTTGGATGCCACTGTAGCTGCTGACGGGTTTTGTCAGAACCTTCCTGGCCAGGGCCCGGGCTTCCTCTTCAACGTTCTGTGACCTGCTGGCACGTTCCTCCAGGAAGACGGCGGCGAGATACAAATTGGTTGGATCGTGATCCTTGCATATTTTCATTTTATCCAAAATGTCTGCCTTGAAGTGTTTGTTAGAGTGTTTGAAGGCTTGGACCAGAGCAAGGACGTAGCTGCTCTGCCAGTCCACCAGGTCCGGCAGAACCCTGACGGCTCTCTGGAAACAGTCTGCAGCCAGGAGCTTGTGTTCTCTGCTGAACTTCATCATGGTCCAGCCTTTCTCAGCATAGATCTCTGGGTGGAGGTCACCTGGTGATGGAGATGGATAGTCCTTCACGAGAACCTCCATCTTGGACAGACACGCTTGAGTCTGGGCTGCCTCTCCTTGGAGATAGCTCAGCCAAGCCAAGTTAGCCAAGTTGACCAGCAGCCACGGACCCTCATCTGACACCGTGTTCCTGATCTGACGGAAGGCCTCCGTGGACCTGCCGAAGAACATCCTGGCATCTTTGGTGAAGCCCAGTTGGAAGTGTATAAAGCCCTGCAGGTTGTAGATGTGTCCCAGCCAGTTGTATCCCTCCTCCGTCCCGATGTCCAGCAGTTTGTCTCTGATCCGCAGTAGTTTGGACCTGCTGACGTCCAGGTCCCAGGTGAAGTGACACTGCAGGGTCTGCAGCGTGGACTCTAGGCTTTTTTCTCTGCTAAAGCAAGAGATAAAACAAATGAAAATTTAAGAAATATACTGAAGGAGCACAACTGATGTTTGCAGCAGCACCACACACACTACAGCCCATGTTGGCCCAGTGGTCTACGGTCTGGCCCAGAGTCCAGTCTCCATGCTGTGTCTAAAAATAGTTCAATGCCCCAGTGACAAACCACACATGCTCTCACCACACATCCTCACTTCTCCTCCCATACCTGTAACTGTTCATTCCCTTATAACACAGGAACAGAACATTAAGAACGATAAACAACCCTTTAGTCACTAAATGGCAGATCTGTAGCCAATTTCATTAATCTATATTGATAACCAGCCGATTGTATGGAGAATGGAAAGGAAAAGGAAAGTGAAGTACTTGTCATTGTGACACAGCACACCACTGCACACAACCAAATGTGACCTCTTTTAACCCATCCACCAAGTGAACAGGGGGCAGCTTTTAGCACCCGGGGAGCAGTGTGTGTAACCACTAATCCACCATTGCCATTGCTGGTGCCAGCAGCTCTTACAGTGGTTTCTACAGATAAATACAAAAAATATGACCAGACGCTCAGTAGTATTTCAATTCTGTCCCCTAGGGTGCAGAAAATAATTAAGAAACACTGTCCCATCACCTTAGCGAGCATGCAATACTTAACTTCCACCACTGCCCCTTTATACTGTATTGGAAATTAGGTGTTTGGATATATCGGACATCCCTAATAAAAAGTAAACTTTTCAGCAGAGCGATGACTCACCTCATCCTCCGGCTAAGGTTCTTCTGTGTCTCTTCTCGGTTCCTCTGTGTCTGTTCTGTAGGTTCTGTGCTGCTTCATCATAAAGTCGTCAGTGTTCCACCTTTGTCCTGCTGTAAACCACGTCACAGTCTGTTCCTTCTCCAGACCTTCAGCCCCTTGTCTAACAGTTCACATGTTCATCTTTGTCACACTTGGCTATAGAACCAGATTTAACAACGTTCTGACAACACCGACAAAAACAAATTATTGTCTGTTGTTGTTTGTTTTAACTTTCATTTTGTTATAATGAAATGGTTAATGTTGCCTTTAACTCACAGTCAACTATTGAAAACAGTGAACTTTATGAGACATGTGAGAATTCACATGTAAAATGAATCAATTTATCATTTTATATCTGACAGTATCACTACTGTCAGGTGGTGGTGGTCGTGATCCTTTATTTTATGACTTCCTGTTTATCATACATTTGTTGTCCTGCTGTTTGTTTTTTGTTCATTTATTTTTAATATAAAATCAATTCACATATTTAAAGAAACAAATGTTCATTTCAACTGCATGACTTGATCGTAACATAGGATTCTGTTCTTTAATTACCAGCTTCCAATCATTACAATATTTTAACAATCCGCTGTTCTTTCGTAAAAAACGTAACGTTGTCGATTTCTTTGGTTCATAAAATCAGTGTTAGTTAGTTAGTTGTAAGTGTGCTCATTGTGATTTTAAAGAATATCTGTTTTAATCCCTACAGGAAACCGTCGTCCACGCTGTATTGTTTACTTTGGAGATTGAAGAGTTTAGTAACCGGATGACGTCACTTCTATGCGACAGAGACGCCGCTGCATGTAGCCTCAGCAGCAGGAGTAGTTGCTTTCTTGCTGCTTAAACTTTAGTTGATAAGTGGTCAATGAGGTCGATAAGACTCATGTAGCGGTCACTGAAGAGTTTACAAGCAGACATGATAATGTGAGGTCTGGAAGAAACACAGCCCGAGTAGTCTTTAAATGTCGATGCTGTAACAACAGTGGCGGCTAACAGGCTAACGTTTGCTAAAGTTAGGGGAGAGTTCACTGAGATGTTTCAAGAGGCTATGGAGAAAATACAACCGAGAGTATTTGTGTAAGAGATTTACGGAGCAGCGCATGTTCCTCCCTCCTCCAGGAGGAGCAGCACCAGGTGGAGGCTCTGTCCGGAATGGAGAGGTGGACCCCGAACCCCCGAGCCAAGCCGTTCATTCCGCGTCAACAGAGGAGTTTATACCTGAGCTGGAAATATAAACTGAGCAACAAGAGGAGTCTGCGCAGACTCTGTCAGGTCGGTGGAACTATAATCACCTGATGTTTACTATGGTCAATAATCCTATAGTCTATAATGGTCCTATAATCTGCCAGCCTTAGAACCTTCACTTGATGCAGAACAACATGATGCTGAGCCGTGTGTGTGTGTGTGTGTGTCAGGCTGGTGCGGTGCTCTTCCTGCTGGTAACGGTCCTGGTCAACATCAAACTCATCTTGGACACCAGGAGGGTGGCTGATGAAGAAGCAGCAGCTCAGGAATATGGTTGGTTGGGGTTTGCAACCAGGAAGACTTGGATTCTGTTGACTGGTTGGTGATGACTTCACATTCATTGTGGTTTTCTCATCCTTCCAGAGGATGCCCCACCCAACATGGAGACACCACGAAGGCCAGCAAATGGACGCAAGGTCCTGGACATTGAGGTTTACTCTAGCCGCTCCAAGGTTTACGTGGCTGTGGACGGAACCACTGTGAGTTTGGTCTGAGCACAAAGGTCTGGTGTCAAGAACCAGTAGGTCAAACAAACGTGGATTTTGACCCACAAACAACATTCTGAGTTCTGTGTTTATAGTCTGTTATTGATAAAGAGGGAATGACAAATAAATAGAAGTCCAGAAATCCAGATGAATGTTTTTGTTTGACCCACAGGTTCTGGAGGATGACATGAGGGAACAGGGCCGAGGAATCCACGTCATCGTTCTCAACCAGGCAACAGTAAGAGACCAGCACAGATGGAAACATGTCAGACTGATTCACAGATTAGAAGATATTCTGTTTTTCTTTAGTCACAGTTTGCTTTGTTTCTGGAAGTCGTGAGATTTCACAGTAGCAGAGTTCAGCGATCTCGACTGTAGACAGTGCCCTCTTGTGGCCACATGGAGTATGTTTTATAATGAAGTCACTTGTTAATATTAGTAGTGTAATTACTAGTGTTTCTGAAGTAATCTGGTGAAGTTTGCAGTCATAATTCATGAGATGAGATTATGTCTATTTTTTCTCTGTGACCTGTTGGCACATCACCCACGGTTTGTTTAAAATAAGTTGTCATCACCTTCATACATTCTGGTCCTCAGAGAAGTGTGTGTCTGTCCCCAGGGTCATGTGATGGCCAAGAGGATATTTGACACCTACTCCCCCCATGAGGACGAGGCCATGATCCTCTTCCTAAACATGGTGACCAGAGGCCGGGTTCTTATCTTCACTATAAAGGTAAGTCTTGGCTGATGACACGTAACCATAGAATGAGGAGGAGGAGGAACTGGAAGCTCCTGTGTCTGTGTCCTGTAGGACGAGGGAACGTTCCACCTGAAGGACGCTGCCAAGAACCTCCTGAAGACCCTGGGCAGCCAGGCATCTGTCAGCCTCAGCTGGAGGGACATGTGGACACTGGTGGTGAAGAAAGGAGGTGGAGCCTGACTCTGTGGAACCTTCAGTGGCCCCATGTTGACCCCTGACCTCCTTAGTTACTGTACCCTTACCATGTCTGTGTCCAGGCCAGGTTTATGGAGAGAAACACTCGAAGTCTCCAGCCCTGTCCACCTGGGGAGATCCAGTGCTCCTGAAGACCGAGGTGCAGCTCACTGCCTCTGAAGGTCAGCAGGTGGCGGTGTTCTCCACCTTCTTGGTCTGTTTGTCCTCTTGTGAAGTCTGACTGTTGTGTGTTGGTTTGCAGAGGCCGAGTGTCACTGGGCCGACACCGTCCTGAACCGGAGGAGGAAGATCTTCTGCAGTAAAGTGGAAGGTTACGGAAGCATCTGCAGCTGCAAGGACCCAGCTCCCATAGAGTTCAACCCTGACCCTGTGAGGAGACCCACCACCCTCACAGACGTCTTTCTCTGCCCCTTCATCCCCTGTCCTCAGGGTTCTAACTGTTGTTCTTTTCCTTCAGCTCTCCAACAACAACGTCTTCTCTGTTCCTGTGGCTGTGATTGCGGGGAACAGACCCAACTATCTGTACAGGTGAGGGTTGGACATCAGTGGTCAGACACCAGGACAGGACTTAGTTGTTGTTTCCATGGAAACAGGTGGTGAGGAGAGTTAGTGTTCGGTCAGTCCAATAAAGTCTGTTTCTGTGTTTTCAGGATGTTGAGGTCACTACTCTCAGCCCATGGAGTGAACCCTCAGATGATCACCGTCTTCATCGATGGATACTATGAGGTGTGCATTTTATTTACAGTGTACTGTAACCACAGCAACAGTTGTTGTAGTTAAGGACGATTGAAACATTAAGCTTATAAATTAATTTATTGTTGTCAGTGGGATAAAGGATGGATTACATCACTGGTGTTAAACTTAGGCCTGGGGGGAAAATCTGGCCAGCAGTGTAATTATGTTTGGCCCGCCAGTATCTATCTGTGTATCTCTCTCTCTCTCTCCATCTCTCTCTCTCTCTCTCAGGAGCCCATGGATGTGGTGGAGCTGTTTGGGTTGAAGGGAGTTCAACACACACCCATCAGCATCAAAAATGCTCGAGTGTCTCAGGTAAACAAGTTGGTACACACACACACGTCATGTTAGACTGTTGTCATAATGGCAGAGATGTTGATACTTGAAATGAGTCACTAAAGTGAGTCTGGTTTCCATGGCAGCACTACAAAGCCAGTCTGACTGCAACCTTCAACCTTCATCCAGTGAGTCAACAGTTGGTCTGAACACACAGCAGATTGAACGACTGTCACCTTAAACCTGAATCTGTGTGTGTGTGTCTTATCAGGAAGCCAACTTTGCCATCGTCCTCGAAGAAGACCTGGACATCTCCATTGACTTCTTCAGGTACATTGGTCTGGTGTGTTTCTTACTGTGGCCACAGGGTGGCAGAAGTGTTAAGCTGGTTCCTCAAGCTTGTGTGTGTCTGTGTGTGTTCTTCAGTTTCCTCCACAGAGATGAGGTTAAAGTTCACTCTAAACTGACCTGAGGTGTGAATGTTAGTGTGAATGGTTGTTAGACCTGTGACATCATCGTTGTAATAATGAATAATAATCTAAAAAACGTTCCTGTGAAGATGAAGCTGGTTCAGTTTCACACCAACTGGTCTGTCGTCAGTACCACATGTTAGGTTCTTGACAACAAACCTTATACTGGCCAGTAGATGGCAGTAGAGCGTAAGAAGCTCCTCCATTAGAACTGTGTCCACCTCGGACCTGACCCTGTTTGCAATAGCAGTTTGAGTACTGCAATATTTAGAAAGTTGTTGAAGCAAATTAACCTCAGGTGAAGTGAGAGGATTTTGATCTTATCTGATCTTCTCTATGATGTAATAATGATATTACAGATGATGCTGCTGTCACTGTCACTGTCACTGTCTTCTTCTCTGCAGTTTTCTGAGTCAGACCATCCATCTGCTGGACCAGGACGACAGTCTGTACTGCATCTCAGCCTGGAACGACCTGGTAAGTGTCTGTGGAGTCTGCAGCAGTCATGTGACCTGTTTCTGTGACATAGTCCCATATTAACTTTTTGCCGATATCCGATGTGCTGATATTGTCCAAACACTTAATTTCCGATTCCAATATCAACCGATACAGGCCTTGTATTATTTATTTATTTATCTGTACAAACCACTGTATGAGTATGAGATTAATTTAATGAGCTGCAATGCTGCCATCTAGTGACCTTCACCATTATATACAGCGGTTCATCCTCAAAACTATTTTTAGGCCACACATCATTTGGCAAAACCCAGGCATTGGGTTATCGGGTTTTCATTAGCAGAGAAAAAAACGTTAACAATTCTTACAGATATTACATACAGTGAGGCTTCCAGATACCAGCTCCCCGAAATACGACATTTCCAAGTTACGAGTAAGAAGCTCGATGTTTCCTTGTATTTCCTTGTTACGAATGCTAAACCGAGCTCCATTTTTCCACTTGACACTGTGTGGCGCTGTCTCCCTCACTGTCCCTCTCTGGGTTATTTTACCCATATTTATAACAATAATATAATGTGTTTTCCTAATTATTATTTTATATTATAAATGTATTTCTTTATATCTATGTTTTTGATGTTTAGATGGGTGTCAGTTATTAATTAATTAATTAATAGTTTATTTCTGAGGGGCTGGAATGGATTAATTGGTTTTTAGTTCTTTTTAATGGGGAAAATTCATGGATTAGACTGGTATCTCAAGGTTCCACTGTAATACGCTAATGTCGGGCTGATAATATCAGAGATCATACTGTGACCTGTCCCTGTGAAGCAGACATTTCCACAGCAGGATGATAGACACAGAGCAGATGTGTTTGAAGGACTCAGTCCGCTCATGGACATCGACTGTCCCCACAGTGGACATTTTGGTGCTTTAGGTCTGGTTGTCCCGTCTCCACAGACTGGAGGACTAGTCTTTGGTTCTTTTGCTGAAGTTCTGATGGAGCCGTTGTCATTCTGTTCCCTCAGGGTTACGAACACACGGCCGAGGACCCAGCTCTGCTCTACAGGGTGGAGTCCATGCCTGGTCTGGGCTGGGTCCTGAAGAAGAGTATGTACAAGGATGAGCTGGAGCCGAAGTGGCCCACACCTGAGAAGGTCCTGGTCTCTGTCCATGGTCTTGACTGTCTCCTGGTCAGGCAGACTGACAGCTGTAGCCTGTGGTTCAGTCCTACGTCAACACGTATCCTCTGTCTTTGCAGCTGTGGGACTGGGACATGTGGATGAGAATGCCGGAGCAGAGGAAAGGCCGGGAGTGCATCATTCCTGACGTGTCCCGCTCCTACCATTTTGGAATCATCGGCCTCAACATGAACGGATACTTCCACGTAAGAACCCGCTGCACATGTACAGCGGTCAGAGGACCAGCAGTGTCTCCCCCCTGAATAGAATCTTCAAACCTCTGCTGTAGTGATGATCTGTTCTGTCTACATCTCTCTCTGTCTCGCCCTCTCACCCCTCGTCTTCCTCACACAGGAGGTTTATTTCAAGAAACACAAGTTCAACACTGTTCCTAACGTACAGCTGAAGAACGTTGAAAGGTCTGTAGAGCAGCAGGTGTTGGTATCAGTGTCTGTGTCAGTGTCAGTGTTGGTGTCTGTGTCTGTGTCAGTGTTGGTGTCTGTGTCAGAACACTCTGCATCTGTTCTTACCGTCTCACCGACGTCCACAGCTTGAAGAAAGACCCGTACGAAGTAGAAGTCCAGAAACTGTTGAAGTGAGTGACTTTTCTTCAGATGTTTGTTCTTGTTCTTGACCGTGATCACCTGGTACTGATGGCCAGGGTGTTGGTGTGGTTCCAGAGGAGCCGAGGTCCTGGACCACTCCAAGAACCCATGTGAGGACTCGTTCCTGCCGGACTCTGAGGGAAAGACCTACGTCATGTTCATCAAGATGGACACGGAGACGGACACGTCAACATGGACCGAACTTGCCAAGGTAAGAATCTTAAGGTCGCTGCCCTGTTAGTAGGCACGACTGTTGTGGACCACCAGACCCCTCCCCCCCCCACATACACCGTCCTGCACATTATCCATAACATTAAACATTCCACCGACCAAGATTGGCCCCCGAGCCAGACTTTAGTCACATGCAGTTCAGGTTGTCTTTGGTTGGAGGTGTGAATGACTGTGGGGACGTGTCCTCTGTCCTCAGTGCCTACATGTTTGGGACCTGGACGTCCGAGGGAACCACAGAGGTCTGTGGAGACTCTTCAGGAAGAAGAATCACGTCCTGGTGGTGGCAGTACCGCTCTCTCCATACTCGTGAGTACAGTTGTAGTACTGTGTACTCTTGAAATACAGCAAGGGCTGTGTACTGAATACTGACAGGTATTAATGAGTAACTATGGGTCAATCAATCTATGTATCCAGTGTGAAGAAACCAGCCAGTGTGACCCCCATCCACTTGGAGCCCCCACCTAAAGAAGATGCAGCAGTGGTGGAGCAGGTGTAGAACTGACTAGGACACTAGGACATGTCCACTGTTAGGGTCTTGATGTCCTGTTGATGGACACAGCTCCACGCTGCTGTGAGGACACAGGACAGACCTGGACCAGGATTGGTTTAAACTTTGGGTCTCTGTACCTGAGGACCATGTGACGGAGTCCACAGAGACATGGGACGTTTTCATGGTCCCTCCTGAACAGATGTGACAATTTAAAGTAATATTTATTTACATTAGACACTCAAAAAAGACTTTGTTCACAGAGAACAACAGACTAACAACAACAACAACACGACTCCATGTACAAATGTATAGAAGTCTATTTTTGATGAGAACAACAACAACAACAACAACAACAAACAGGCCAGTGTTACAGTTTGACTGTGAGACTCACAGCAGACTCAGAGGTCAACAGGAAGTTGTCCCTGTCTTTTACGGTATATGGTACAGCGTACCAGCAAACAGACGGACAGATAGGTGTTGATTTTTTTGTTTTGATTGTCTTCTCTGTTGTGTGTGTGGTTTTACCTCCGAGTGTCTCTTCATGAACCAGGGTCATTGAAAGTTCTGATATTTAAAGACCATCGTCATGGTCCACCAGGTCTTGATTTTTTCCTTCTTCTTCATCTGTGTTCATCTGTGGTTTCCTCCACTGTCTCTGATACTGTATCTTCAGTGGTTTCCTCCACTGTCTCTGATACTGGTGTTGAAAGTACTGGAAGGCTTTAATAATGGACCTTGAAAGTGCTTGACTTTGTCATGAAGACCTCAGTGTTTCAGCTTTGATGTTCAAAAACCAACGGTTCTCCTCACTGGACTTCAGTTTTGTTTGAAAGTTTGTTTTTGTTTTGACTTGTGGAACCACATAACTGACGTTTGAAATTTTTCTCCTGGAGATGAATAAAATTTTCTTAGACGGTGGTTGGTGTTTGTGAGTCGGTGTTTGTAACTCTGCAGGAATGTGTTTTTTCTGTTATTTTGCTTCTAATCAGTTCTAGTGTGTGCACTAGAATCAGACTCAGATCAAGACAGTTGAACCAACTCAGCAGTTCTATGTTTCTTCCAGGACACACAGATGACGCACACACCAACCCTGTGTGTTACATTAAAACCTTCCATTCAGGTTCCAGGGTAAAAGTTTTATTCCTGGAGACATGTCTAAACTGCGTAAAAGTCCTTTTATTCCTGGAGACATAAAAAAATAAACTGTGGTTTGGGGCCCACTCATGGCACCTGGACATTTACAGACTGAGGGAAACGTATGTAAATCTGTGGATTCACTGCAGCCGCGGAGCTTCCTGTGGCTTCTTGTCTCCACTGCCCTGACCTTGACACGCACTATGACCAGGAAACAGGTTCCAGTGTGTGGGTGTGTGTGAGAAAGAGTCACAAACCTGTGTTTCTGAAAGGACAGAAATAGAACGACCAGAACATGGAGTCCTTTTATTCCTTTCCTTGATTTATTTACACTTATATAAAACAAAAGACAGAGACACCTGTGACTGTATCGCTTCATAACTACATTCATTTATATATGTTTAATTTGGCATCATCAGCATAGAGTCAGAGTAGAACTACTTATTCCCACAGGAGAGAAGAAAAACAAACGCCAGTAGAGTCAGGCAGCACAGACAGAAATTATATTTAGATCAAAATAAGAATTTAATAAACATTTCTCTGAGATAAGTCTGTGATTAATCTGAGATTTGTCTGTGATCGGTCGGTGTCTGGGCTGTGCGGTGTTTGGTTCTCTGGTGGAACCTCAGCTGGTTCTGTTGTCCAGGCGACAGTACAGGTACATGGACACAGTCATAGCAGCGATCTGAGGAGACAGTTTTGACATGGATTTTTATTGAATCAAAGATAGTTGAGCACTAAATTCTGTCAACAGTAGTTGTCAGTAGTTGTCAGTAGTCTTAGCCCCTGTCTGAACACTGTCACGGTGGTCTCCCTGTGACCTGGTCTAGACCGACTTCCCTGTGGAGTGACACCTCACGGCCTGGCATATGGTCCCTGACCCACAACCTCCTGGTTCTGGTATTTTTATTTTAAAACTTAAAAATGTTGCAGAAAACAGAGAGGAAAGTCAACGTACAAACCGGCCTAAGACTTTTGCACAGTGCAGTAGGTGTTACTGTTGTGGATGAGACAACAGTGATGTTCTCTACGTGAACACATCACCTTCTGAAGAGGGAACGTCATCAGTTCAACACAGTACGGTACAAACGTTCTCTGCTGTTCCTTTACCTCCAAGATTCCGATCCCTGCTGCGATTCCTCCAACAATGTTGGCGTGGTCCTTCAGGATCTGCAGGATTTGTTGAAAACATCCCTGAGGACAAAGAGTCACAGATGGGAAGACATTCGTAGACAAAGTCAACAGTTTGACATTGGTGTCTTTTCTTCTTCTTCTGTTCCTTCAGGTTTACTTTGGTCTCATCTCACCTGCACGTCACTGCGCTCTGCTTCAACAGGGCTGCAGGGGGTGCTGTTGGTCCAGCAGCAGGTTGGTGGCAGACTGCCGTCGTTTTCCTTCTCAAACGTCGATCCAACAAAGTCTGTGTAGTTGGTGAAGCCGCAGCATTTCAGCTGAAGGACGATTTAAGACAAGAAGAAATTTTCTTTTTAATCTGAAGCTGTGACAGTGGAAGTGTGGCAGCTAGCCCCACCTGGTGGAAACCTGTGGTATTGTAGTTCTTGGTTTAATTTGTAGTAGTATTAACATTAGCAGTGTTAACAATATAAGTAGTATTCACAGTATTAGCAGTATTCACAGTATTAGCAGTATTCACAGTGTTAGCAGTATTAGTATTAATGGTAATTGTGGTGAATATGGTTTATTTATTTTTCTTTTAAAGAAAAACAAAATTCACCTGAAGATAAACAGTGACAGTTCACAGTCAAACAGTACCAAGAACAGATGTCTCAGTTGACTGTTTGTGTCGAGTGTTGCAGTGAAATGAAATGTTTTAGTCAGTTGGAGGGGGTCAGACTGGACTGAGGTGAACTTCTGGACAAAGACACGTTCGTTTGAGTGGTTTCATAAGAAGAGTTGATTCCCATGAAGGACACAGGCGAACAAAGCTCTACTTCAGGTCTGGTGTGGGTGTGTGAGGACAGA